GCTAAACGAGAGTATAATTTATGGCAAAATATTCCACATTCGATGTTAGTTTGAATGTATTCTTTATGTTTGTAGCCATTAAAACAAGAATTCCCTAAGCATTTTAAGCATGCAATTTTTATATTCCTTGGAACAATAGAATCATCTGTTACCAGAATTTGCGCTACTTTCGCTAAGACTGAAAATGCAATTAACTCCCTAAAAATCAACAATTTGTTACACGTCTGTAAGTAAGCCTAACAATTAAAAAATGTTTTATATTCATTAAATCATACTCTGATTGTAGGGTTCTAAATAATTTAGGGTTAAGAAGACTTGATACTTCTTCCCAATTTTGTTGAGACAAAGCTGCTTCAAGTTTAGGTATTAAATCAATATTGTTAGTATTCATTGTGTTGTTATTAATTACAAATTTAAAATAAGTTGTGCTTTTTAATATTTAACAAAAATTCTACACAATTTGTACATGGATAACCATCAAAGTCAATTGGTCAATGCTAATATAATAATTACAGGTTTATCAATGTTATGTATATAATGCTTAACAGAATATAAATATTCAAATACATTGATTAATAAATTATACTATTTTTTAAACAGGAGGAATAATAAAAACAAGTACATATATTCAAACAATTTTAATCATATATAAATTGACAGCTTAAATTAGTTTTAACTAGTGGCGCCATCGGTGGCAAGACCCTCAAGTTTCTAGTGAAAATAGTTCCCACTGTCGCCGTTAGATGGCACGAGCGATTCTATTAATTTCTATTTATCATAAATACATAAATATACGATTCTTAGTTTAATAATACTACAATATATTAGTTAATATGTCAAGTTTACCATTTCTATGAATAGTTATTTAATGCGCTACTAATTATCGATTCATTCAATTGTGGCGCCATTGGTGGGAGCACGCTCAAGTTGTCATAAAATATTTCGTCTCACTCGGTAAACTTTTCGGTACATACTGATTCAAGTCCTTCTGTGACGACCGTGACTAGCGTTTGTCAAGTCGGCTTAAACTTATTTTGGGATAACTTTTATTGAAAGAAAAATCTGTCTTCGAGGTAAATATCCATAGTTTTAAAGAATTAAATTGTACCAAGATTAGTCCTAATTTGCTGTGTCTGTGTATCAGTAACGTAAATTTATTGGTTTTGCTTTGTCATTGCGAACGCAATAACCTCTTTTCGTTTAAGTTTTCTGTTTATTTTAATCATTGTTGAATCGGGTTGAGAATTACGAGTACATAGGAATAATAATTCTGCGTTTTACATCTATATCTAACTATGAAATTAACAATATATTTAATAATATTTGTAGTATCGAGTGATAACCTAATATCAATTAATATCATAAATATTACAAAGAATTTGTGATAATAAAGTAAATAAGAGCTGAAGAATATTGTAAAATATATACGTGTATATGTTGTATAAAAAATCCTGGCAAAGTATGAACTTTAATTACAGCTATACTTTTCTTTTCAGATGTTTCTAACACGTTCGGAGTACGATCATGGTGTTAACACTTTCTCTCCAGAGGGGAGGTTATTTCAAGTTGAGTATGCTTTAGAAGCTATCAAACTTGGTTCCACTGCCATAGGAATTGCAACACAGGAAGGTGTAGTGTTAGCAGTAGAGAAACGTATTACATCCTCTCTAATGGAACCTACAACAGTAGAAAAGATTGTAGAAATTGATAAGCATATTGGATGCGCTGCATCTGGCTTAATAGCTGATTCCAGAACAATGATTGATCGTGCTAGATCCGAATGCCAAAATCATTGGTTTGTTTACAACGAGAGAATGACCGTAGAGTCAACAGCTCAAGCTGTTTCTAATTTAGCTATACAATTTGGAGATAGCGATAATGATGGTAGTGCTATGTCTCGACCATTTGGTGTAGCCATGTTGTTTGCTGGTATTGATGCGAAAGGGCCTCAATTGTTCCACATGGACCCTTCGGGTAACTTTGTTCAGTTTGATGCAAAAGCCATTGGTTCAGGAAGTGAAGGTGCACAACAGAACCTTCAAGAAGTGTATCATAAGGTAAGCTACTATATTATATATATCATCAATGTCAATTATCAAATTATTATCTTGAATTTAGTATAAATGTGAACCTATTATCGAATTAATATAAGATTGGATAAATCATATTTGATATTGTAATTTTTTATTGCAGTCTATGACACTTAAAGAAGCAATTAAATCTGCCTTAACTATACTCAAGCAAGTTATGGAAGAGAAATTGAATGACACTAATATAGAAGTAATGACAATGACACCAGAAAAACTCTTTCATATGTTTTCAAAAGCTGAATTACAAGAGGTGATTAAAGATATTGCTTAAACATTAGAGTGATTAAGTACATGTTAATTTTACCAACATTAATGCATAACATTATAAGCAGCAGAGATATGGTATATGGAAACTGTATAACTGCAAATTACACATACATTTTTCACTCAAAGAATATGTAATTTTTACGCAATGGATGGTTTTATATATTTTTGTTCGTAATAGTAAACTTTAAGTGTCTTTCTCCTTATATAAAAAAATTCCTTTAACACTACTTCCTAATAATCTTCAATCTTGCATCTATATTTAAGTTAATGCAATGCAATAATGTTTAGTTCCTGGCAAATTATTAATAATTACAGTAAAACTATATTCTAAATCAAGATCTCATAATTATTCAAAACATCTATATTTTTATTTCATTGCAAGAAAATACTTTATGCAGTTGTACTCCAATAACCTATTGAAATCGTTATGTATAAAACTTCTCTTTTAACCTTTTTATTTAGTTAATGAATAATCTGCCATCATCGAGAGAAGATTCATTAAGATCAAGATCCAATACCTCTGGTCCACTCCCAACCATATCCATTTCTGGGTAACAAAATAAGAAGACTACATTTATTGATATTTATACATCCTTTCTCATAAATGTTTTTCCATCCTTACCAAGATAACATAATAAAATATTTGTTAAACTCATTTATAGTACGCCTTCCCCAACCTTAAATTAAAATTACTTCTCCCTTCCAATCATATGTAGTATACTTCATACTGTGGCTAGTAGTAGTGGCTGTGGTAGTTCGATCAAATAGAATAATACTTCAGATCAGCTGATAACTTTGAAAACTAAAAGTGTACATCTTAATACACATCTGTGTGAAATATGGGTTCAATTTACGATTTAGTTTGCTAGATATGATCACTAGAATATTTCCCTTTAATTTCCTTACACATTTCCCTTTAATTCCCCCCCATTTCCTGATATATTTCCCATAAGTTTCTCTCCATTTCCTGGTATATTTCCCTTTAATTTCCCTCCATTACCTTACACATTTCCCTTTAACATCCCCTCATTTCCGCGATTCTTCCTGGTTTAACAATGTTGCAAATCGCTATTCTCAGACCTTCCGACAATGTTGCAAAGTCAACAATGTTGCAAATCGCTACGCTCGAAACTTCAACAATGTTGCAAATCGCTCCTCTCAGACCTTCAACAATGTTGAAAAGCCAACAATGTTGCAAATCGCTTCTCTTGGAACTTTAACAATGTTGCAAATCGCTACTCTCGAAACTTCAACAATGTTGCAAATTGCTCCTCTCAAACCTTCAACAATGTTGCAAATCGCTACTCTCGAAACTTCAACAATGTTGCAAATCGCTACTCTCGAAACTTCAACAATGTTGCAAAGTCAACAATGTTGCAAACCGCTACGCTCGAAAGTTCAACAATGTTGCAAAGCCAACAATGTTGCAAATCGCTACGCTCGAAACTTCAACAATGTTGCAAAGCCAACAATGTTGCAAATCGCTTTTCTTGGAACTTTAACAATGTTGCAAATCGCTTCTCTCAGACCTTTAACAATGTTGCAACTCGCTACTCTCGAAACTTCAACAATGTTGCAAACTCGACAATTTTGCAATTTGCAACATTGTTGGTTTTTGCAACATTGTTGAAGGTCTGAGATAAGCGATTTGCAACATTGTTGGCTTTGCAACATTGTTGAAGTTTCGAGAGGAGCTATTTGCAATATTGTTGGCTTTTGCAACATTGTTGAAGGTCTGAGAGGAGCAATTTGCAACATTGTTAAAGTTCCAAGAGGAGTGATTTGCAACATTGTTGAAGTTTCGAGAGGAGCTATTTGCAACATTGTCGAAGGTCTGAGAGGAGCAATCTGCAACATCGTTAAACCAGGAAGAATCGCAGAAATGAGGGGATGTTAAAGGGAAATGTGTAAGGTAATGAAGGGAAATTAAAAGCAAATGGAGGGAAACTAAAGGGAAATATACCAGGAAACGGTGGAATATGAAAGGGAAACGTGTAAGGTAATGATGGGAAATTAAAAAGAAATGGAGGGAAACTAAAGGGAAATATACCGGGAAATTTTATTTGCACGAATACGTAGTTTTACTTCATTTTTTTAAACATACCATCCATCCTTATTAGAAGGAACAAATCTAGTCCAATTTTTGTATTTAATATCTTAAATTATGTGGTAAGTATGGTAACATAATATGGTAAGTAAGTGAAAAGGTAGAACTGGGAAGAATTCTCTAGGTATAAGACAAGGAACAATATAACTCGCGGATTGTGATATTAGAAGTGAATAATTATTATTTTATCGCATTCGTTGTACACGATATAATAAACCTACTGTAATTGCGATGTTCGTAAAATCTCATCTTGTCCGACAAAACAATCTTCAGATTCTTAACGATCGGATTCGAGTTAATCTCAAAACCCGATCGCTAAGTTACCCTGAACGTGCACTCACGTGGAGCAAACGTACTTACATATTTTTCATGAACAAACTTGTGCAGACAAAAGAATCCTCATTCGACGGCGTATTCTCCTCAATGGACAAAACCAATCACACCTCACGTATCGAGTCACGCCCTCAATCGCACACGAATACACGTGTATCGTTTTTATCGCCGGGATACACGTCGAATCACAGTAAAATCGCGAGATTTATTTATTTATTTATTTGTATTTATTTTTTTTTTTTTTATTCGTCGTCGCCTTATATGTATAGAGCAACTTGTTCCACATTTTGTTTCAGCGAGTACAGAGGGACGTATTACAAGTATACGCCGTGTCTGGGTCCTTAAAAATCTAACCGATCGCGCCTGCGCAATCGTTCTAGCTATTGTCTGTATGCAACAAGCGTATATTGACTATACGTTTTTTATTTTATATTTTCGTGTAGTTTTTGTACTACGATGCCAATTCACGCTACTCGTCCTCGTTCTAAAAACTTCTACGGGCACCTAAGAAAGATTTGATTAAGCTTTCCCCGCGTATTTCCCAATAGATCTACTTGTCACTGTCCCTGCATCTCCTCAAAAGTTGGGAGACCTAATCCTCGTGGTGACGAATGGAATGCAAATTTGAAATTTAAATAGCGATTCCGTTGATTCATTTCATTTTTCATTTTGTATCTGTCGATAACGAACATAACCGAGTCGCCGTTTGAATTTCAAAGTCATAATTCATCCATGATATCTATTCTTCGTAAATCGAAACCCTCGTGCTTCGATAATCCCAGGCAAGGATATGTAATTATCAAACGTGTGAATGTAATCGATAAAAGATTTGGAAATTACGTTACAGTAGCCTCTACCGTCGAGTTCCCGGTCTCGCCTAATTGATTTCGAAGAGCAGCATTTCAAAGAAGTGGTATCGAGAAGTACTCGCGAACGCGTTCTCTTCGTCCTTGTGATATATACGGCAATCGTTCGAATATCACAGTTTATCGAGTATATGATATGTAGTCAGCGATTCGATCGATAACCAGACGTGGCCAACATTCTCAGTCGATTAACAAATATCCTTATTCGAATATCGCTTACTCGTTATCTGACGTAGATATCCAGATAAAAATGTTGCCCACCCCTGTCGATAAGTCGTCGATAGTAGTAAAAGTCGTCACGCGGTGTGTGTATGTACATGCAGATGGCTCCCCATTGATATCGAGGGGGCACGATATACAATAACGTTTCGCTGAACGTCGGATGAAGTATGTAAAGTCGAAAAATACAAACTGGCCAGAGGCGTAACTAAACGGGTATGCAAACCCGTAAGCGTACAAGATTCTCGTTGAGATTTCCCTAAAGCGTATACGAAAGTGTCGCCATTACGATTCGTTTATTATTCGACGGAGATCTTTGGTCTCCGATTCCCCATGGCTGGGGGGGGGGGGGGCTCTCTTTCTCTCTCTCTCTCTCGTTTCTTGATATTGCAAAATTCGTACGATTACGACGACGATACAGCTCTAATAAAGTCGCAAGCAGCGCGTTATAATACCCGAGCCACGCGATGATGTAAGAAAATAAGTGACTTTATAAAACCGGAAACGAGATGATCGTATCGCACGGATTAGCGCGCTACCAATATCGCGGATTGGTTTTACGAGTCCTCGAAACGAGCCTTTAGATTGCCATGCAACAACCTTTGTTTCCATGAGACGATACAGTGGATGCAAATGAAACCACGCGACTGTGGCAGGGGACTTACGCCAACGCAATATTCTCTGAATACATGCAAGTTCTTTAAGTGGCACTGTAACATCTTACAATTTTATATTTCTTGCGATGACAGAAGAAAACGAATAAATATATCACGCGATGAATGCTTCTTTACATCCGCTTTAATGTCTCATGGGACGTACCACAGATTCTCGGTTACTAGTGCAGTGGTTCTTAAACTCTAAAGGTTCACGATATAAACGTCCCGGACACTTAGGAACATAAATTCAGTAATTTCCTAAAAATTAACAAAATTATCTCAAACATTTTGTCTGTGCATTGTTTAGACCATCTTTGACGAAACATAATAAAAAAAAACAGAGACCAAAGTAGTGCTTAAGAACCACTAGACTGGATTAATACGACTAGACCAGTCGACGGCCGCGCGCAGTCGCTGCGCGCGCCACACGAATGGGCGTCTCATCGCGAAATTCGAAATTCGATGCTCGAATATCGTTCTTCGATGCTTCGAAGTTCACAGGGTGGCCCTGTCGTTGGCACGTCGTCGACGTTTCTTGACGAATCAGAAACACACGGAAGGTCTGTAGAGTCCCGTGTAACCGCACAGTCGGGCGCGCAACGCTGGCAACAATATGGCCGCCGCGGAGAGATTGTCTTGCAGCTGCGAGCACTCGCAGATCAGTAGGTACATCTTGTCGCCCTGTGACATTGATTTGTGCAGCGTAATGCGTCTTAGGCCAACCGACTTCGGTAAGTATCGGTACATCATACGGGCACCTGAAACAATTCAGGTCCAAATTAGAATAGGGTGTAGTATATGTATATGTATGCTTGGGTGAATGGTTGTGTCGATAAGATTCGGTAATGTAGGGTTCCATATTATCAGCAGTGATGGGTAAAACCCTAGGTTTCGAATAAATCTGAAGTTTACCGATATGTTTGTCTCGTTTCCTCTTTTGAACATTTTCCAGAGAAAGAAACGAGTGTTGCCCATCTCTGATTATCAGCAAAATGTAATCTACTTTGACAACCAAAGGGTTCTTGGTTTCTTTTAAAATTGAGTTTCTCTGAATAATGTGCAAAATGTGTAAAGTCATCTAAGGAAATTAAATAGAATACCTGTCCAGTAGAGCCAGTTCTGTTCGAACTTGAGGCCGTCGTCGCCTTCGAACACCTTAAAAATGGAGACGATGTAGCCGGTGGACGGAATCGGTGGTCTGACACCAGGTGGTTCCAACGGCGGCCTCGCAATGGTCGCCACCTCGTTGAACAGGTCCAACGTGTGGCTGGCTGCGTATCGCAGATCTCGAGGATCGAACTTCCTCAGAGCGGCGCACTGGACTTCGTTATAAAAGTCTACGGGATCCGTGTTCTGCTTGTTGATTAGGTAGTACGTGATAAATGGAAAATCCGCTGAAATTCATCGTAAAAAGTTATTAAATTACCTACGACGTAACGCGACTAAGTTAATTATTTTACTTTCTTACAAAAAAGACTAAAATTCGACTAGACGTGAAAAGAGTGATCGATAGTAATCTATTGGAAGCCAAGCGTCGTCGAATTACCATTTTTCTCCATGTTCGTGAGCAGAATACTCTGGGAGGCGGAGGGTGCTATTTCGGCGACCAATTCGGCCGCAGTGTCCCGTTGGAGAACCAACGGACGGGAAACTGGAGTCTCGACTAATGGATCCAACGGCTCCAGGGACGTCATGAAATGAGCCAGAACACATTGTTTAGGGTCCTCGACTTCCAGGATCGACAGAGGACTCCCTGGTCGTTTTTTGTCTGCGATTGGGGCGTGCTGGAACGAGTCGGAATAAAGCTGTGTGATTGGAAACAGACTAATTAATACGCTCCGTCTCGAGGACCTCCACTGTTGCCTGTTATTATCGTTCGTTAATCAGAGTGGTCTAATAATTTGTACTCTTTCGGTGACCCTCGAAAACGTACATTTAACTGAACCTGATAGAGTCGGTCTGTAGATGCGGCTGCCACCTACTAGGCGCGAGAAGAGCCCCTGTGAGCTGGCAACCCATCAAACGGTCTGTGTCTCTGATTGCCACCCACTAGGCGTGACAGCAGCCCCTGTAAGGTAGCAACCCGACAGACTATCTGTGACTCTGGTTGCCATCTACTAAGTTACATATTTCTAAATACAACTGCAGTTCGTAGTTCGGCGCCATTTTAGGCGGAACTGCACATGCGAGAACTATGTTATTTCATCACTTCAAGTGTGATAACCTTTAATTATCCTATATAATATAATCACCTTTTAATCTCTACACCCGGTATAATTATTTGGGCCAATCTGATGGAACGAAATGTATACAAGAGAAAGAATGCATGATACTGTAGGTTTACTTGTTAGTCACGACACGAGCGTTATTTCCGTTATGCTAGCACGTCATTCATTTGCGTTTGTTGTTCCTCGTCACGGCGGCCACGCTTTTGTCTATTTTTAAGCGTTTGAGGCTGGGCCAGCAAGGTCGTCACTGGTCGCGATTGGCCGCGACTTTAAGGCCAATAACTCGAGCTTTCTGGTTTTAGCAGGCGTGTACTCGATTAGCGTAGTTTCGCTCGGATCATTCCCCGCACGCTGGAAAATACTCTCTGATGAATATATTTTATTACGGAATTAAACGGCATCTATCGATGTACTCTGCTAAAAGTCGCCACTTCTGGGTCTTTAGTAACGTTTGTTGGTATATAGCAGATGGAAGTCTTTGACGCGTTACTGCGTCTTCTTTAGGTAAACATGCCGTTGAGACTTCAAAGGGTGCGCTCGCAAATCTTCAAACAAATGAATGGTAGAGGAATTTCGAGAGACTTTGGAAAGCGGCTACGTAGCGAAAAGGGACTGGCAGCTTTGAAGTCTGGATCGTCTTGAAAGCACTGAAATTTCGACACTACCTGTTGCGTTCAGTGTGATACGTAAACACAGAATGCGAGGATTGGAAGCGTGTTTGCGTTGGAGCATTTTAGGATCGAAGAATCTCAGGCTGGTGGGCTTCGGAGTTGAGAAGCATTTTTCTTAGGAAAAATTTTTAAAGTAAGGCATTTTTGGACTGAAACATTTGCTGTTTGAAGAGAACTAGGGATAGGAGTATTTTAAGAGAGGGAATATTTTAAACTCGAAGCGTTAGAAGTCGAAGCATTTTAGAGTTGGAATATTTCAAACTTGAAGCATTACAAGGTTCAAATTTCGAAGCATTAAAAGTCGAAACATTTTAGGGTTGGAGCATTTCAAACTTGAAGCATTTGAAGTCGAAGCATTCGACGATTAAAACTTTTGAAACTTGAAGCCTAGAGATCGAAGCATTTGACGATTGAAACCCTCTACACTACAATTGAAGCGTTTTCACTATGCAAGACTTCGCGATTTAATCATTTTAGACTGGAAGCACGTGGTATCGAGGCTTTCAGAGATGCAGAGTTTTTACGATCGAGGATTATGGGATTACAGTTTGCATGCAAGTAAATGCAAAATACGTCTCACGTACCGGAACTCCCGCTGGCAGAAAGCGTTCAACAGACGCGAGGGGGATGATGAAACAGTCCCTGTCCAACGTGGCCAAGGAGATTGGTTCACCGCGTGGCGGGCTGTTCCCGGAAACCACCAGCGGCGTGTACGCGCCGGATGCTCGGTTGCCGCTAAAGGAAACCTATGAGAACCATATAAAACGGGAATAATTAATCCCAACCAACTACCACTCTGTATTCATCTATTAGGTAGACTGGAAAGTAACGTCGTTTCTTTTACATTAAATTCAAACGAATTTTTAATAAATTTCTATTTTTAATCAATTATGTAATCGCTCTCGTTATTAGCAGCCTTTTGCCATCAGGTGTGCAACATTTTCAATGCCAGATTGATAAAAATTAACCAGCTGATGAGTGATAAACAAATATTTAACATTGCAAAAAGGACATTACTTTCCAGTTCACCTAATACATCAATTATCGAGACAATTTAGAATACGTCGCGCTCTGACTTAATGCATTTCGACATTTCACATCTCAAAGGCAGGTGCCATCGATTCATCCATTCTCCAGAGCATCCTGCGAAGCATCCTGCGGAGCATCCTAAGGCTCTGAGCAAACCTAACCCGAGTCTAACCCCATCCACCGATCGTAAACAGGATCGCGGCACCTCCACTTCCGCGATGCACCCTCGCTCGAGCTGCATTTTTAACGTTGGCGTATCCGTCGAATCGGGCCCAGGAGTAACAAGTGAATTTCGAAGTCGACAGCGCGTCGTCCCTAGGATGTAGGTTAACGCGATTCCTTTCGTTGTTCTTGCGGTGCACGTTGGCATTTCGAGACAACGCCGTGATTTATGGCGACACGCGAACGCCCGTAACCGCTCCTGACATTTTTGGCCAGGTCGCGCGACAGGGCGTGACATTATCGACAACGATCCGTAAGAGCGACTTCAGGGCGACGCCGAAGACGCAGGATGATAATAAAGGCGAGGCTTGGAGTCGTGTATCGCGGTGTGCTTTGGTTTTCGTGTCAAGAAGAAGCAGAGGAAGGTTTAGGGGTTCGTTTCACCCTCTAAATACGAAAACGGGCCAATATAAAAAAATTTCCTTGTACGTAAAAAGGAAAATAGATACTCGACTTAGAAGATAGATATTCAAGGAGATAAGCTGGCACGTAGGAAGCACGGGAAGTAAGGTCCTATGACGGGACCATATAGGATTTCTTATAACCTCGAAAGTGATCTCCACTCTCCATATCTTCTCATTGTTAACCACCAGAGGATACATCGTCAACCAATTTTGAAAAACATTCGCAGGAAGCAATATGAATCTGTCTTACGTAGGATTTATCCTGAAAAATGGACCATCCTCTCTCTGGATATTTAAACTCCCCTCCTCCCTTTCTTCAAACTGACATCACCCCCCAAAAATGACTTTGCATGCATCCTGCAAGTTTCACGCTCGATAATATTCTTCTACCTATCCCTCTTCCGTGCATCCACCTTTTAGCGAAGCCTGCAGCGAAGCACCAGGTGCTCGTCACTCCTCCGAAACGTCCATCTCCTCCGCTCCACCAGGCGCGTTGAGTCCTCGCCAAAGTATTCATGGGGGGTCTTGCCGAACGCGGAAGACCGATCTCGAGCCGTGTTCATTTTTCACGAGTCGGTGCATCGACCGCCCTCCTGGGGCTCGTCGTTCCGCGGAGGATCCATCGTGGTATTCGGGATCAATCGATGACGGGGAATGGGCGCAACGAGCGGCGGATATCGGGCATAGTCCGGCAAGCTCTCAGGAAATTTATGGCACGTCGCTAGATCCGCCTTGGCGTGCAATAAGATAGCGAGTTTGCGTGCCGCGGCGTAGGTGTAACTTCGTGCGGCCCGTTCTCCGCTGGCCGGCTCGTTTCCGCCATAATTCCGTCCGCGAAGCTATCCCGTGTTCGAAACCACTCGTCCCTCCTCGGTACGTGTCCGTCCGGTACGTGCAATCCTGGGGCGTACACTTTCCTCGTTGAAATATCGTCACGAGTGTCCGGCCGACCGTGTTTCGGCTGCCTGGCTGTAGGCTGCTCGAGGGTTGGGGTTACACGGTGCTATTTGAAGGCTCGGTTGGTCGTACTGGCTCGAGCTTTGCGGAAAGAATCGTGTTTTTAAGGAGTGGTCGGTTGGTTTTCGGAGTGGAAGACTTGGGAAGGCTGGTTTTGGATGTTGCTTGACTTTGATCGAATTGGGTGATTGATTTTTGGATTAAGGCTGCTTTCAGGATTAATATACGGCGTTAAGATAAGGATACGAATGATTTTTACCAACCGGATCGATAAGAGTTTGATGTTGTTTGATTGAATTGGATGTTTGATTTAGGTTTGAGGGTAGTTTCAGTATTAATATGTATGCTGTTCAGAAAAGGAACTTAGGAGCTTATTCGAAATTCGAAGTGGAAGCCTCGTTGCAGCTGATTTTGTAAGAGTTTGAAGTTGTTTGATTGAATTGGACGCTTGATTCTGGCGTGGGGGTAGTTTCAGTATCAATATATATGCTGTTTAGAAGAGGAACTTTGGACCTTGTTCAGAATTTGGAGTGGAATACTTTCAACCAACCGGTTCGATAAGAGTTTGATATTGTTTGATCGAATTGTATGCTTGATTCTGGCATAGTGGTAGTTTCAGTATCGATGTATATCCTGTTCAGAAAATGAACTTAGGACCTTGTTCCGAATTTGGAAGTGGAAGCCTCGCTGCAGCTGATTTTATAAGAGTTTGACGTTGTTTGATTGAATCAAACGGCTTTGCCAATGCAGATAATTTGTCCAATACATCTGTCTTGGAGATCTGTTCATGAATACAGAACCCAAGATCTGCACTATTTTCTGCAGATTCCTCCAGTTGAATCGTGCCAGCCACTCCATCTTCCAAACTGACGTGTCTCTCTTGAATTAATTGAAGTAGCCGAATTGTATTGTCTCCGTTGTGTCAATTTCGTCTGGCTGGGAGGGTGTCTTTTGGCTGATTAAATTCAATCCACATTCCGCTAAATGTCGAGAACGCTCGTGTCTTAAATCGTACCGACGCTGTGGTCGGAGATTAATTCTACTCTTCTGGGAGGCTTGCAAACAACCTCTGCAAACGATTCAGGATCCGTTATATCCCATACAGGAACTAACACTATTAGTTTCCTACTAAGGTACATCTTGGATAGACTTAACGCAGTTCTACTCAAAGTACCTATTACATAACCACTAATGTTAAATGAAATAATTACCAGAGTAAGAAATCGAAAGCTCACCTGTCTGGAGGCAGTCGGTGTAGGTGGTTCGGAAGGGTCCTTCTGCAGCGGGTTCTGAGCCTTCCTCCTCGCCTGGCCGGCAGCCGCCGATCCCTGCGCGGTGGCGCTACCCCCACCACCGCCCCACTTGATCACATGCGGGCCCGAGTTCCTCCTAGGCGGTGGGCCCAGTCGTTCGGTCGGTTCGTCCGGCGGGGACCCAAGGGCGCCGCCTGACGGTGGCGAAAGGAACAGGTGAGTCCTATATCCGTATCCCTGGTGGTCGTGATCCGCCATCGACGGGAAATAGCCAAACTCCCTGCTGCGTCTGATTGGTCCGCGTGCGCCCACGGCCGCCTGATTGGCGCCACGCACCACGCCGAAACGCGGGCCCCCGTAGCCCAAGGTGCCCGACGCGCCACCGAGGGCCGTGCGGCCCTCCAATCCCCCGCCGCCTCCTACTCCTCCTCCACCACCACCGAAGCCCTTCTCGCCGCCGAAGTTCTTGCGGAACATAAGATTCATGACTGACAAATGACGAATCGCACCGGGTCCCAATTAATCACCGTGCGTGTTAACGTGTCACGGTGTCGGTTATCGCTTTCTCGCGTGGAACAAGCAGCGGCGGCGGTGGTGGTGGTGCTCGACGATCACGAAAGCTTCCCTAACGTGTGTGTGTCCCTCACAGTCCGCGACTATGTACGTATTTCTCTCTCTTTAGGCCGTTTGCGTAGCGATTCGTTCACCGAAGCGTTCGTCACGAACGAGAAAAGGGCCTAAAGTAATCGAGGTTTGACGAGGGGTCCGATGAGGTGGCGTTGCAGCGCCCCGGGGGGAACCCCGGTGCCGCTAGATGCACAGAGTACCGTCAGGGCGCCATCTTGGACAGGAGCGCGCGCGATTCGAACCGGAGAGAATACCAAGATCAATGAACGGTGAGAATTTATTTAGGATATTTTACGATGTTCGCGTTGATTATCAAAGTTAATAAAATATAATATTTGGTTACTGATACAGAAATTGTACAAGCTTCAAAATCATATATTTTGTAATTCATGAAGTTTATAAAGTTTATGAATTTACGACATTTATTTTTCCTTGTTGAGTCTTTATATGCCAACGAGCCTTCCCCATTTGATATCGTTTCCATGCAGTTTCTATTTTCGTTAAAAATAGTAGACTTCTCGACGCTAATCCGCCATCTTACGGGGAACTATAATCAATTTAATTACGAAGAGCTGAATTCCTAGACGGTACTTTATATATCTAGCGACAGGGAGCCGGCTAATGCCGTGAATCTTCCTTTAAACCATCTTATCATTGGCCTATGGTCACTCGCGATGGAAATTCGTCGCGTTTCAAGGGGAAGGGGGTCGATCGTTTCGTAGGACAGATGGGGGTTGTTAGGGTCATCAGTCAGAGGAATTGCAACGGTGTTAATGACTGTTTTAAGGGGTCGGTGTATCTCCGCACACTCTAGTTACTCGTCTTTTCTTTGTTAGAGGTGTCGATTAAGTGGCTCCGCGTGCTCAAAAGGGACAGTTTCGTTACCGGGGATTCCCGAATGATTTATTCCTTGTCGCACGAGGTGTCAAAGTCGCTCTCTGCCCAGCAGAAAGTTCCAAAGTGGGTCTTAACCTGACTTTCCCGCGTCTAACCAATCATCAGCGCGCGTAAACTTTTATCCGACATTATGCTCGTTCATCGGAACTGCTCGCGCCATAACGATCTATATAACGTCTATAGTTAGATTAGGTTAGGCCAGTCTCCGCTTTAAAAATACGGTGATCGAAAACAGGTAGCCTGTCACATTTTCTTTTGTGTATTTTATAAGAGACGTTTTCTTTGAATATTTGAGAAGTCTCGAATTTGTATCTTCTTCTATTTTATTTATGTAAATATTTCTGGTGGAACTTGAAATCTTCATGTTTCAAATATAATAAATACTTTGCACTATTTCCTTGTATTTTCATTTCCAATTATATATGTATGATATAAACACGTTAAATTCCAGTTGATTGTTGGCCCCTAAACTAACCTAATCCAACCTAACACCCTATTCCTCTCCAAATCGCCGACAAATCGTCAGAACTTCCTACTCGACGCATAATCTCGCCTCCCTGTATCGTTCCAACCCAAGTTGACAAAGCAGAGAGAAAAAGTTTAACAATTTGATCACGTTCAATCTCGAGAATCCGCCATTTAAGTTTCGCCATTAGGCTCTAGCAGCAAGGACGTTATACTTCGATTTAACTCGACGAGTTTCAAGGTTCTGGAATTGTAATTGCACGTTGTCTTCATCGACGAGTGGAAAATGATAGCGTGTCACGCGGAAATCGAAGATCTGTATCGTTCCCTATTACGGATTCCGACGATAAACTGAACGTCGAAACGGTAAGCCTAATTGCGAGCTATAGACAAACACAACGGGGCTCGGCTATAGAGTTCCCTGGTATTTTCGATGTTTCTTTGCTTTGTACTCAACCTGTAGATCATGGAGTTCCGTAAGTAAGGACGTAAGCCTTGTAAGGACGTTAAAATTGAAGTTTTCAAAATTGTCGAAAAATTTCAAAAGTGCGTCGGATGAAAAATCTCGGTACGTCTAATTAGGGACTCTAAAAATAGAAATCTCGAGAAAAATTCGCTACCCCACCTTGATATAAGAACGTCTCCAGGCTCGTCTAGTGGCCTTAATACAGAGTGTCCCAAAAATGTTGGAAGTTCTTGAAAGTGGTGGTTCGGAGGATTATTTGAAACAACTTTTTCCTTAGCGAAAATGTTGTCCGAGGCTTCGTTAAGGAGATATTACCAGAAAAGCCCCGACCAATCAGAGCACGAGTATACCGTTGGAGTGGCCGCGATTAATATCTCCTCAACGAAGCCTCGGATAACATTTTCGCTAAGAAAAAAGTTGTTTCAAATCACCACCACCACCACCCCTCCCCCCCTCCGAACCATCCCTTTCAAGAACTTCCAACATTTTTGGGACACCCTGTATCAAGGACTAGCAGTATATCGAAAGTTGGTTCCACAAAAATCCTAAATAAAATAAATTCCAATCGAGCTTGAATAAAAAATTAAACCAAATCTCGCGTAATTTTTCTCTTAACATGTGAAATCATGCTTTACCTCCCTTCTTTATTTACTTACACTATTATAATCCCCTGAAACAGTACATTCTACTTTCTCCCTCGAGCATCGGACCCAATCTTGATTATCTTTGACACGTATTCGAGCTTTTTACCCCACAAAGACGATAATTTTGCAGATCTCGGTCTGCAGTCGGCTTCGGCCCGCCTATCTCGCGTTCGAACACGTTACAGGTCGCGCGGAGGACGCTAATCGTCCCCCAGGTACGATTTGCGACGCAAAACCTTTTGGACCTCGACACCTCGATAGTTACAAGACTCCCTGGAAGGTTTCGCGTACCGAGCAAAAACCACTTGCTCCTTCGACTTCGACCGCGATCGAAGAACCGCCGGGACGCTGCTTTCCTTTCTTTGTCGTCGCGATTCGTGCGCAAACTCTGAGACCTTCACAGGGAAAGCGAACAGCAAGCAAACGAACATCTGGCCAACGAGGATCGAGACCATTGGACACGTTCGCGACACCGCCAGGATTAGTTCGGTTAGAGTTGCTCTACGTTTACTCAAAAATGCAAGCTCGACACGTTGACCGCCGCGGATTGGCCGAACCATCTGTGCTGGTCCCACGCTTTGCATCTATTTAGACACGGATGTAACGGGTGGCTACACCGACTGGGGCCAGGCTATTCGTTCATTGTACAAACGTTGAAATTAGAAACTGTGGAGGAATGTTGGTCACAGAGGACGATGACGTCTTTGTTATTTTAGGATGTTTTTAGTACTCAGGTTTATGGTTAGCTTGGAATGCTAATTGAAGTTTACAAAAAACCTCCTCCTTTTTCGAAGTCGGTTAAAGAAGTTGTATACTTCTGAAAATTTCACTTGGAAGTTGAGATATCGTAATAAGAACTTCGTACTCTTTGATGGAATTGTTTGAATAATAAACGGTTAGCACTGTTACTTCGGTCTCTTGGTTACGTATTCGTTGATATTAAGAATCTTCAAAAACGCTTTAAACAGATCTTAGGAAATATTACGTTTCACGTGAAAAAAGTAAATAAACTTTTTCCTTATTTCCCCTACTGAAGTTTCCTGAAACATTTGGAAGCATCGCTTGTACCTGTCAATATTTTTGACAACTTTCGCACGATAAACTTCTAAACACTGGACAGTTAGATAAATGAGAAGAAACAATCAGCCTATAATAAATAGAGAGACAATAAAGTCACTGATAAACGATGTTCAAGCGATCGAGTGCAACAACCCAGAGCCCAGGGGGACACCCCACAGGATGCAGCGGTCAACGTGTTAAAAAGAAACCCACGATCAAAACCACATTCCCCAATCGATAGTTAAATTTCCTCGACAGCGTTACACAGTTACCAATCACCAAATCCAGATTCTCGTATGTACATTGTACAGTCAGGGGTGTGGAAGAAGAGTCCCGGTTAGTCCAACTTCACTCGACAGTGTTACTAAAGTTAATTAAAGCTCTTCAGGTACTACAGTTCACGAGCTCAGGAGGAAGGTTGCCAAACCTCCTCAAGTATTACGATTCCGGAGCTCAAATACAAGGTTGTTAAAGCTCCTCAGGTACTGGGATTCTCGAGTTCAAGGAGGAAAACTGTTAAAGCTCCTCAGGTATTAAGCTCAGCTTTTAGAGATACGTCAGAAATAGGTTGGAGAGAATTAAATAAAGCACTGGACAATATAAAGCTCCTCAGGTACTGGGATTCTCGAGATCCGGGAGGAAGATTGTTAAAGCTCCTCAGGTACTGGGATTCTCGAGTTCCGGGAGGAAGATTGTTAAAGCTCCCCAGGTATTAAGCTCAGCTTTTAGAGATACGTCAGAAATAGGTTGGAGAGAATTAAATAAAGCACTCGACAATATAAAGCTCCTCAGGTACTGGGATTCTCGAGT